AGGCTGCACTTCCAGCAGCAATTGTGGTCCTGTCAGTGTAAAAGCAAAATTGGGAGCAGCTCAATAGTCCAAATGAAGTTTTTGATAAAAGAAAGTGAATTAATACTAGCTGCTGACCCACAAATTGCTGCTGAAAAGGCAGCTGGGTTTCTGGGGTTACACTGGCACCCTCCCAAACAAATGTATCTTCTATTATTAGCACTGTGAAATGAATATTGGCACCTTTCCCCGTGTGGTATGGGCAAAGCCAGAGCAGAATCTAAAAGGGTCGACATTAACAAAAAGATTGTTGTTGGGTTCCTTCCCCACTCTGAACTCTAGGGTACAGAAGTGGGGAACCACATGAACGCTCCCTAAGCTTATTTCTACCAGTTTAGATTAAAACCTGGTACGCTGCCACCACCAAGTGATTTAACAAGAAACAGGGAAAGGACCAATTGGAGTTCCTCTTCCCCCAAAATATCCCCCCAAGCCCTTACACCCCCTTTCCTGGGAGGCTTGAGAATAATATCCTAATCAATTGGTTACAAAGTGATCAAAGACCCAAACCCCTGGGTCTTTGGACAATGGAAAAATCAGTCAGGTTCTTAGAAGAAGGATTTTATTAAAAAGAAAGGGTAAAAAATCATCTCTGTAAAATCAGGATGGAAAATAACTTTACAGGGTAATCAGATTCAAAGAGCCCAGAGGAACCCCCTCTAGCCTTAGTTTCAAAGTTACAGCAAAACAGGGATACCTCCCTCTAGGAAAGGGAACATTCACAAGTTGAGAAAAACAAAGATAAACTAATATGCCTTGCTTGGCTATTACTTACAAGTTTGAAATAAGAGAGACTTATTCAGAAAGATTTGGAGAACATGGATTGATGTCCAGTCCCTCTTAGTCCCAAGAGCGAACACCCACCAAAACAAAGAGCACAAACAAAAGCCTTCACCCCCCGCTTCCCCCTCCAAGATTTGAAAGTATCTTGTGCCCTTGGTCCTTTGGGTCAGGTGTCAGCCAGGTTACCTGAGCTTTTTAACCCTTTACAGGTAAAAGGATTTTGGTGCCTCTGGCCAGGAGGGATTTTATAGTATTGTATACAGGAGGGTTGTTACCCTTCCCTTTATAGTTGTGACATGGCTCCCAAATCACAGATAGTGTTGGACAGCCAGTTCCACACTGACTGTGATTTCTTCCTGGAGCTCTAGGAGAAAACAGAGTTAATAAGAAACATGCACCTTTAGACATACTACCGATCATATAAAAACTAACAATATGTCCCACATTCCAAGAACAATTTTTAACCAGTTGATTCTGGGAAACTTTCACGGGAGAGTGCATCAGCCACTTTGTTAGAAGCTCCCAAAATGTGTTGTATTTCAAAATCAAAATCTTGGAGAGCCAAACTCCACCTAAGAAGTTTTCTGTTATTGTCCTTGATGGTATGAAGCCACTTCAGGACAGCATGGTTGGTTTGTAGTTGGAAACGCTGTCCCCAAATGTATGGGTGTAGCTTTTCCAGCGCATACACAATGGCGTAGCATTCCTTTTCGCTGATTGACCAGTGGCTTTCCCTCTCAGACAGTTTCTTGCTGAGAAACATGACAGGATGGAATTCTTGATCCAGTCCTTCCTGCATTAAAACTGCTCCCACACCACGCTCGGATGCATCTGTGGTTACTAGGAACGGTTTGTCAAAGTCTGGGGCCCTTAGCACAGGTCAGACATGAGTGTCGCTTTAAGCTGGTTAAAGGCCTTCTGACACTCTTCAGTCCACTGAACTGCATTTGGCTGTTTCTTTTTGGTTAGGTCTGTCAGTGGGGCAGTGATTTGGCTGTAGTGCGGTACAAATCGCCTGTAATATCTGGCCAAGCCTAAGAAGGATTGGACCTGTTTCTTTGACTTTGGGACAGGCCACTTTTGGATAGCATCCATTTTGGCCTGTAGGGGGGTTGACAGTTCCTTGACCCACCTGGTGTCCAAGGTAAGTCACTCTGTTTAGGCCTATTTGACACTTTTTTGCTTTAACAGTTAGTCCTGCCTCCCATATGCGCTCAAAGACTTTTTGCAGATGCTCCAGGTGTTCTGCCCATGAATCAGAAAAGATAGCCACATCGTCAAGGTTGGGTGACAGCAGATTCTCCCAATCCCGCTAGGAGACCATCTACAAGCTGCCCTTGTTTGTGTAAAGTTGCCCACATGATTTGCAAGATATTTTGCAACACCATGCTCTGGGTGTTCAGCAGAGGCTGGGAGTGGATAACTGGGAATAGATCACTCAATGATTGCCTATTCTGTTCATTCTCTCTGAAGCACCTGGCACTGGCCACTGTCGGAAGACAGAATACTGAGCTATATGGACCATTGGTCTGACCCAGTCTGGCCGTTCTTATGTAGGATTGGGGCTTTGGTGCTTTCTTAGACTGTAAGCTCTTTAGGGCTTATAGTCCCTATCTTTTTGTGCTGTGTTTAGCACAATGGGTTCCCTGTTTATGACAGGGTCTCTAAGGTGCTACCACAAAACAAATAATAGTATGGATTGCCTTGTTTAAAATAGTCAGGTTGAGAAAAAAGAAGATCATAAACACTGGGTATGGGAGGGGGAAGCAGATGGTTCATGCAATGTGCATTATTTTTTGTCTATTTAAGAACAGTTGCGTTTCTTTATACTGAGAGCCAAAAAGGCCTAGTGGACTGAGCAAAATCAGAGTGCTAATCTAAGTTTTACCATATGTGATGGCCACAGGCAAATTGCTTCACTATGTGTCAGTTTTCCATTTGTAAGAGAGAGATACGTACATAATTACTACATATCAAAATTGCTCACATGCATATGTTTTGCAACATCAGGCCTATGTTTGCATATGCTTCTGAGATTTTAAAATGAACCCGTTTCAGTATTTCCAACCACAAAAGTTTAAAGATCATGAGCCAGGCACCCAAAAATCCTGAGTTTGGCTTACAAATCATGATATAGATTGATAGATATAGTTCTTTGTCTACAGGTTTATGAGCCTTTAGCAGGGCAGGCTCCAGGCACCAGCCTACCAAGCATGTGCTTGGGGCGGCACCTGGAGGGAGGCGGCGCTCCGGCCCGAGAGTGGGGCCGCGACCAGTCTCGCTGCCCTCCCCCCGGCGCTCGGGCCGGCCGGGGAGAGCGGGGCCGCGGCCGGCCTCTCTGCCCTCCCCCCGGCGCTCCGGCCAGCCGGGGAGAGCAGGCCCGCGGCCAGGCTTGCTCCCCTTCTCCCGGCGCTCCGGCAGGCCGGGGAGATCAGGGCCCCGGCCAGGCTCGCCGCCCTCCCTGCGGCACTCCGGCTGGCTGGGGAGAGCAGGGCCACAGCCGGGCTCGGAGCCAGCCCTGGCCTTTAGGGCGCCCACAGATCACATTTTCAAGCTTTTCTCTGCAACCCTAAGGGCTAGAAACTTTGTTTTTAAGCGAAAGCTGAAAGTCTCACCTAATCACATGCATCCAGGAACTGGGGCTTTAAGAAAAACACTAGCTATTGTGAGACTTCTGATAAAATTGCAAGAGTTTAGTTAGCTGAATGCAAATGAACAAAATATACCATGGAGCTTTCAATAATCCCCAAAGGAAACTTTACCAAACTGCTGCAACACACAAAACTCTCTTCCTTACTGTGCTTAAATGTGGGAAATTTCAGCCCATATGTGATTTGTTTGGGATTATTTTTTATTTACACCCAGAGCATTTTTTTAAAGAAGCCCTGCACAAACCAGAGATGGTGGCTTCGTGGCTGAAATATCAGGTTTTTTACTTATGCTTTGCTGAAACCATCCAAGGCAGATAAATTGAGTTCCTTCACTTTACTCTGCAGGTAGGAGACTTGGATCTGGAGAGGTGCAGGTCTGGCAGACACCATAACGCTTCAAGGAAGAGTGGGTGTTTGTCCTAGCGTCTTTGCCCCTGCTGTCTGTCTGCAATAGGGTTGTTTTCTAAGCAGATTTAAAAATGGTTCCCAGCATTGCCGACTCTCACAATTTTATCACAAGTCTTGTAATATTTGGTGTTTTCCCTCAAGCTCTAGTTCCTGGAGACAAGCGATAGTATGAGAATCTCAGTTTTCATTAAAAGATACTTCCTAGCCCTCATGTTGTGGAGAAAAGCTGGAAAATGTGACCCAAGTGTAACCTAGAGTCTCAAAACAAAAAGGCAAAGAAAAAGAGCCCCAATGTTATTATTTATGAAAAGTCTCATGATTTTTTTCTTGCGTGGTGTCAAGTATCAGAGGGGTAGCCATGTTAGTCTGTATCCACAAAAACAACGAGGAGTCTGATGGCACCTTAGAGACTAACAGATTTATTTGGGCATAAGCTTTTTTTTTACCCACGAAAGCTTATGCCCAAATAAATCTGTTAGTCTTTAAGGTGCCATCGGACTCCTCGTTGTTCTCATGATTTTTTTGGTGCCTGACTCATGACTGTTGGATGCTTGAGGTTGGCCATACTGGGTGCAACTTACACTGATCACAGCAATGGACCTGGTGCTAAGCAATTTAAGGTGGCCTGGACTGTTTATACTGAAACCAGTTCAGTATAAACAGATCAGGATGCCTCCACATAGGGTGTGAAAATAGGGATGCTTTTTTGAGGGGTGGGGGTGGGTATAGTTGCCCATATAAGACAAAGCCCCTAATAATGGGACATCTGGTCACCCTAACTCCACACCAGGTCAGTCCTATGACTGGGTCTGGAACTAGGGTAGCTGAACTGGTCTTCACACCAGTTCTGCCCCCAGAGGCTGTGTCACGTGCTGGCCCCCTGCTTGACCCACAGGGGGAACTTGTGGCTGGTGCAGCCTGGGTAGGGGGCCCTGGGCAGGGAAGCTGCTGCACAGACTCAGCCAGGGAGCCCGCCCAACCTTGCCAGGGATGGCCATGAGCTCAGGCAGTGTCTCCTCCCTGCCTCCAGGGGGCGATGTGCAGGTCCCGCTCCTCTGAGCCCAATCTCGTTCTGCACAGGCAGCGCCAAATCAGTCCCGCGGGGACGACGCGGCCTGCGGTCTCACTGCGCCTGCGCGCTAGTGAGAGCTGCACGGGCCGGGTGCTGTGTGCGGGCGGGGCTGGCGCTGCTCTCACCCTGGTAACAGCGGCCGCTGCAGAGCCGCCCTCGGCCCGGCACCCCCGCGGCACCATGCAGGGGGAGGACGCCAGATACCTCAAGAGGTACCGCCCGCCCCGTGCCGGGGGGCTGAGTCAGGCCGGGGCAGCACCGGAGTGGGGCGGGTAGGGTTCGGGGGGAGGGATGGGGTCGGGGGAATGGGGTCTAGATGGGGGATGGGTAGGGTTAGGGGATGGGTGGGGTTGCGGGGAGGTCGGGGAATGGGGATCTAGATGGGGATGGGTGGTGGTAGGGGAGGAGGAGGTATGGGGGATGGGTGGGGTCGGGGAATGGGGTCAAGATGGGGGATGGGAGGGGAGATGGGGGATGTTAGGGGAGCGGGGATGGGTCTGGATGGGGGATGTTAGGGGAGGGGGAGTGGGGTTGGGTGATGGATAGGAAGGATGGATGGGCTTATAGGGGAGGTTGGGTTGGGTGGGGAGTGGGTAGGAGGGTTGCCTGGGGTTATAGGGGATGTTCGGTTGGGTTTGGAGTGTATAGCTGGGTGTGCACTGTATGGGTGAGGTGTAGATAAGGAGGGCTGGCTGGGGATCACTGAGCAGGTGGGATGGCTGAGTAGCAAGGTAGATAAAGGGAGGGTTATGGAGGGGAAGGGTGGATCTGAGGGATTGGATGGTTGGGCTTTTTGGGAGGGATAGAGTGATGAGTGGATGATTGTCTGCTGACACCATTGTTTAATGATGAAGCTGCCCCAGTTAGAGATTAGGATCCATCTAGCCTAGTATCCTGTCTTTCAGCGATGTCTGTTACCAGCTGCTTCAGAGGAAAATGCAAGCAGCCCAAGAACAGTTATAGAATATTCTGCCCATTGGGAAAGTTTCTTCTTAACCCCTGTCAGTTAGTGGCTGGTTTATCACATACGCATGAGCCCTTATAATTTTTTCCTACCCTATGTAATTCTGGATTTTCTCATTATCCATCATTTTTTAACCCTTCTGAGCTCCTGGTGATCTTCTTCCCCCCCGCTTATCTTCTGCACTGTTCAACAGCCTTTGCAGAGGTTTGATTGGATATGTTGGGACACCCTAGTCACATACAGAGTTCTGTTACCCCCTTGTTGCTTAGAATGTTTACTTGCATATGTCAAATTATTAAGATCCTTGATTTTAAAATGCACTGAAAACTACCAATGATTTCTGATGGCCATTGATTCTGCTGTGAAGATATGATCATAGCTGAAAATTGAGTGGTCATCTAGTGTTCAAGTTGCAATGGCCATCTCAAAGTTAGGGCTGTCCTTACCCATATGCAAAGTACGCAGCTGCGTAGGGCACCAGGAAATTTGGGGCACCTGCGTGCAGGTGTGTGCTGCTCCAGCCCCTGCTCCAGCTCTTCCCCCAGGGCCTCCATCCCACCTCTTCCCGCCCCCATTCCCCTGAGGATTCCAGAAGCAGTTGGGCCTGCACTCACAGGTAAGTAGAGCGACCTGGCCCCAGCCTGCTCCGCTCCCCTGGCTCCCAGCTGCGCCGCCTGCGAGTGCTGGGGGATGGTTTCCCCCCTCCCCCCAAGCCTGGGAGCCAGGGGAGCAGAGCAGGCTGGGGCCGGGTCACTCCACTTCCTGCAGGAAGTGGCCAGCCCCCCTCCTGCCCGTCCCCCACAGAGGCCTGGGGCCAGCCAGCCCCTCCCCCCCACACACGGAGGCCTGGGGTGGGGCCCCACACAGCCTCCCCTCCCCCCCCCGTTGAGGCCTGGGGCCACACCCCTACCCCCACACAGGCACGAAAATAGCTAGGGATGGCCCTACTCAAAGTAGTACCTATCTTAATGTGTATATTCTATACAGGCCACTTTTGTGATCTCGGCGGAATTTTTTTCCATTGTTTTCAACAGCAGACTTTAAATTTTTGTGTTCTAGAGAAACTGCCTATTGTTTGGCATGGCTCTGGGCAGATGTGCAAGCATAGCTCTCCTCTGATTTTTCCCTTGTCATCCTCCATGCAGACTCCCACCCCAACCTTCTGTCTGGGTCACTGTTGTAAGTTGTTAGTGTATGGGGGATCACAAGAATTTTTAGCTTTGTATATGCACAAAAATTGCACCAGTTTAACAAAATTAAATTAAAAAAAAATTGATTTAAACTGGAGTAAACCCCTATGTGGATGCTCTTAATTCAGTTGACACTAGAGCTAAATCGGTGCAAATTTTGTGTATAGACAAGATTTTCCTCTTTTAAGCCTTAATAGAGATTCATGTCAATTTCAAGAACCAAGCAGGCAAGTGAAGTGAAGGGACAGGATGGCATGGCTGTATCATACCAGCAATCTGGCACAATCTTTGTCCTTCAAACCTTGACGATCATCCAACATTTGGATTTTTTTTCAAGTAGATGGATGGCTGCAAAAGTTAATAAGAATAGAAATGTTTCATTTATTTAAAAAACAAAAACATTTCCTTTGTGGCACTGGATACCCATATATACTACATTTGTTCTAGTGGATAGTAAATGTTGATAAGTGCAAAGAAATGTTCAGAGCTTATTTATTGCTTTTCGGCTGTAATCTCAAAGCACATCTCAAAGTTCAGGCTTTGAGATGAGGATACTGAGGTACAGATGAAAGAGCAACTTCCCTCGCAATGATTGGGCCTATCCGCATGCAAGAGGAAGAAAATGGCCCCCAGGCCACAGAGGAGAGGCTACTCTAGCCTGATAAGTAGAGCATAGCCTGTGACCCATTATGTGGTCCCCTCCCCTGGCACAAAGAAAGTAAAGTAGAGGATCTCCACAGCAATAGGTCCCGTGCTCACCTATGCTTCCACCCTACATAGGGGCAGATTCCATGAGGAAAAAACTTGAAGGCAGTGCTAAAACTCATTGTGGGTCAACTAATTTGCATTTACTCATTGCATTCAGGGCCGGCTCCAGACACCAGCCTACCAAGCATGTGCTTGGGGCAGCACCTGGAGGGGGGTGGCGCTCCGGCTGGAGAGCAGGGCCGCGGCCGGGCTCGCCGCTCTCCCCCCGGCGCTCCGGCCGGTCGGGGAGAGCGGGGCCGTGGCCGGGCTCTCCGCCCTCCTCCCGCCGCTCCGACCGGCCGGGGAGAGTGGGGTTGCGGCCGGGCTCGGCGCCCTCCCCTGCCGCACTCCCCGCCAGGGAGCTGGGGACGGCGGGAGGCTTTTTTGCCTGGGGCAGCAAAAAAGCCAGAGCCGGCCCTGATTGCATTCATTGACACTCAGTACTACTTTAAAGGTGAAATTGTAAAAGGGAGATCTGCCTATTTCAGCTATTTCATTTTAGATGCAGTTGTGATAAAAAAATATAGTACCATAGAGTAACAACTATATTTATTGCTCAAGCATGAGAATTCAAGAATAGTCCAGAAGGAAAACAGGCAGTCCTTAAGAAAGAAGTATGAAATAAAAAAGTTTACCAACCTGAAAATCCTGCATGTTGGGACATGTTCCTTTCATTGTCTTCAACGAAGCTTCCTCCTGAGAAGGAACATTTCTCATGATGTTTCATTTGGGCAACCAGGCCTTGCATTTCTTTGTTGCACTGTTTGCATTTTGCATGCATGCCTGTCTTACCCACAGGTAGAGGAACTTCATTAAATATTCCCAAACTGGGTCTCTTTTATGGCCTGCCGCCATTATAGGTTTTCCCTTCTAGTGAGAGAATGGTATGGTAGATCTCAAATCTATGAAGGCTACACTCAGAAAGACCTCAAGACTTCTGGAGTATGCTGCTCAAACAGTTTCACTTTTGTTTCTGTTGCCTCTCCCTCTCTTCTCACATTTATCTCCAGACTTCTTCTCATTGTCCAGATCTATTCCTCCCCCAACAATCTTCTATTCATTGAACTCTTTGAATTTTACACTTTTAGAGAGAGGTAAGGGATTGACTCTGTGTACACAAATTTGCAGAGAGACAATAGGGTTGAGGTCTGTTATTTCTCACCACTATATATTATGTATTTATTTAAAAACATTTTTGCTGTTAACAAGCATGTTATCTCTGGAGTCACAAATCCACAGTTTGAGAACTGCAAAACTAAACATCTCTGATGGTATCTTCTAGACTGAGCACTGAGTCCCATTGGGTAGATAGAAAGATTAACCTAAATAATCTATACCGAAGCCCCTGTAACCCCATAAGGGTATGTCTACACTACGGGATTAATCCGAATTTCTATAATTTGAATTTTGGAACCAGATTGTATAAAGTCGAATGTATGTGGCCATACTAAGCACATTAATTCAGTGGTGTGCGTCCATGTACCGGGGCTAGTGTCGATTTCCAGAGCGTTGCACTGTGGGTAGCTATCCCATAGCTATCCCATAGTTCCCGCAGTCTCCCCCGCCCATTGGAATTCTGGGTTGAGATCCCAGTGCCTGATGGGGCAAAAAACATTGTCACAGGTGGTTCTGGGTACAGCCTCACCCCTCCCTCCATGAAAGCAATGGCAGACAACCATTTCGCGCCTTTTTTCCTGGGTGAACACTGCAGACTCCATACCATGGCAAGCATGGAGCCCGCTCAGCTCAAGACAGCAGTCATGAACATTGTAAACACCTCGAGCGTTCTCGTGCAGTTTATGCTGAGCCAGGACCAGAAAAATGAGGTGAGGAGGAGGCGGCGACGGCAGCGCAGCGACAAGCGTGATGAGGACATGGACACAGAATTCTCTCAAACCGCAGGCCCCGGTGCTTTAGAGATCATGTTGTTAATGGGGCAGGTTCTATCCGTGGAACACCGATTCTGG